GGGTCTTTAACTGTACAGGCCCTGGAACTGTGAACAACTAATTTCTGTTTTTTTCCAATGCCCAATTTGTGTATTTTGTTATGGGACTAGGACAGAAGTACCTCAGTATGTCTGTAAGAATCACTTCTTTATTCTTTCCTTCTTGGTGTTGATTTTATCCTTCTGCTGATAGCAAGGAGACTGCACAATTCCAGATGTTAAATAATAGAAGTTTTCTTAGGACTTGATTTTTGGATCAAAGAGCTCTGTCCCCCTCCCCCCAACTCCCCCTGCACAGCTTCTCAGCAGATTCTTTGTCTTTCTGGCCAGTGCCAGGTCACATGTGGCTCCTTACCATGTTTGGATCCCCAGTACTGAAATGAGGGTGGTTGAGAGTAAGAAATGTGGGTACCCAGATAAGACAAGGTTTATTAAGAAGAGCATCCCCAAAATGTGATGTTAGAATTTGAGATCTTCAAATTGCTACATAAAAACATAAAGGTTGTCCATATTAATGGGGTGCTGAGCAATGTTTCAATACACATAACCATTGTGTAATGTTTAAATCAGAATAAACATATCTATCTCCGCTGGTGGAAAAAAATGCAAAACTCAGCAAGGTCCAGGAAGTGGACCTGGTGGGGCACAGGTGACTGAAGTGATGTGCAGATAAAGAACTGGAATTAGAAATATCTGCAGGTTACAAGCCTCGGCTTCTGGATGGGTTGTCCATGTGGATATTGAATGCACCCAGAATTATGGCAAGAGATGGAGGTGTAGCAAGAATCAGGGGCCATGGAGAAATTGTAGGTGACAGTGACAACAGTTAAGGAGGGTGAGGAGCCCTTTTTCTTCTCCCCAAACCGGGTTGATTATGAGCGCCTTCCTTGTGTGCAGGTCTTATCCCACTGCCCAGGTGCAGGTGGGTACTCACCGCTCGCCTGTCCTGGGGCTCCAATCTCCACTGTTCTCCTTGCTTCCTGGATTCCCTTTACTTCTGTGTTTTTCTTCTTGGCTGCACACTTGTATCCCCTGGGGAGATTCTACTTTCTTGATGTCCAGGTCACACTGTCCAGGTACCATCAAAAAATAATCCAGAGTGGGAGGTTCAGGCCTAGCAGCTGCTCTGATAATTATTCACTTCTGTGCAGCCTGGTTTACCAACTGCTCTGCCTACCCCATCCCTGCCTTCACATCTTAAGAGGTAGCTGCAGCAGGTAGCTCCCTTTCATTGAAGAAACCTCTGTTGAGCCCTTCTCCCTCCATATACTGGGAATACAAAGGTGAGAAGCACATGCATGCCCACCCACCAAGACACTCAGCTAGGGGACGATAGGTGCTGGGGCAGAGGTCTTCAGGGACTCCGAGCATCCAGGAGTTGATCTTTACCCTGCACTGGGGGAAAGGAAGTCAAGGCTTTGCTCATCTTCATCTCCATTAGACCCCACAGCCAGCCAAGCCCACTTCCTGTATCCAGCCTGGGTTTGGAGCTGTTTTTCCTCAGTCACCACCAACTCTAAAATCTGTCAAAGCTCCATGAAGAGGGAGCAAGCCCTTTGTGTGATGGCTCCTGTACCCCTATCTAGCCTCAGTTCTTGCCACATGTCCTGCAGTGGACTGTACAGTCCAGCCTTCGTGATGACTTAAAGTTCTCTGAAAGTGTCTCACCCCTCACACCCTTGGGCCTTTGCACATTCTGCTCTCTTGCCCTAGAAGATGCTTCCAGGACAATTTGGAGGAGAGCACCTGAGTGGAGGAAATAGTATGATGAACAGATACCTGGGACAGGACAATGGCTGTGCATGGAAAACCCTGTTGCCCAAGGATGGACAGTCACTGTATCTTGGACTGCAAGTGCCCTTTAGCATCAGTTTCTCCCAGAGAGCTTGTTAAACCACAAACTCCTGGTCCCAAAATGCTGTGCTGCCAGGGGCCTGAGATGGGGCTCAAGAATTGACCTATCAGACTTCCAGGTAGACCACTTGTGGAACAGTGTGAAGGCAGTAAGAGATGTGGCTAGAAAGGGGGGACTTTGGCAGAGAACAAAGATATCATCAGTATAGCACAGCAGGAATGTGACTTTTGCTTCTTTCCTTACTGTGCACTTACTATGTTTCTGACTCCAGAAATACTAAAAAGAAAATGACATAGTTTCCAATCTCAAAGTTTTTCACCCCAGTGAAAGGAGGAAAGTAAGTCAAAGCATAGCTTTCTGCCTTTAGGTAAAATGGTGAATATTTATTATGGTTGGTTAGTATCCTCTTCAGATTTGAGCAATCAAGGAGGCAGAACCACATTTGGGTTCTGCTCTTCTTGCTTTCTAACTGCAGATCTTATGTCCCATGAGTATGTTCTTTAGTTCCCTGGCCAGTAAAATTAGGGTGGTGACATATTATGCATCCAAAGGGTTGTTTTGCATATTGAACAGTTTCTGGTCCATAGCAAGGGCACAACCAACAATTGAAGTTACAATTATGATCATGCAAAGAACTCAGCCTCCAGGTTTGGGGGTATCTTTCTAGGAAATAATTCCTGACAGATGGGATTCATTGATGAGGATGGTTGCAGTGTCTTCTGTTCAGAATACTTAGGAAATAAAAGGCTAAGGAATAGTTAGGTCTCTGGCTAGTATGAGCTAGTGGCAGTAGGCCTGGATGATCTAAAAATATCAGTTAACAGGGATATCCATGCACCACTCATTTAATCCTCACAACAGACTAGTGTGAGTGGTTAATTACTCTCCTGATTTTACAGGTAAGGAAACAAGTTAGATGAGTCTATTCCCACTCCTGGGGCAAAATACATAGTAAGACCAAGCTTTGGAGTCAGTCAGATGTGGCCATGAGTTCCGTGGCAGCCAATTACTGGTGTGTCCTTGAACATATGTGACATCTCCACATCTTCACAAGTGCAGTACCTGAGCAGTGCACAGCATGCAGAACACATACAGCAAGGGACCTACTCATAGCTGCTTGTCGCAATATGCAACAGAATCAGGGCCACTCTGAATGGATTGGGCTGGCAATGAAAAAAAACACACAAACACAGAAAGTACCTTTTTTTGGGTTCAGGATGGCTCTGCACTCTTGAGAATTAAGCTCCCACGCTGGAGGTCAAGGATAGCAAGGGAGGCAAGAGGCAAGAGGCAGGCAAGAGAGCGAGTACACCTGAAAACACCCTATTTATTGGGGAGAAGCCATTCATACTATATTCCACCCATATAAGGCAAGAGATTGGATTTCGGAGGATGGAATCTTGCTTGATGATGTCTTGTGGTCAGCAGTTTGATGACATCTTGAAGAGTCACACCCATCTCAGGTGTTGTGTGGGATCATAGGCAGTGAGAGAGAAAGGGCACACATACCTCGCCCAGCCCAATCACTCAGAAATGTCAGCCTAGTTCCATCATATACTCAAATGTGCATAGCTCACACACACAGCCCATGGCTGGACAGCGACAGTTGCCAATCACTGTGGCATGGTGTGAAGGGTGAATCCTGCAAATCTGAGTTCTTCCCTAGTTTATCCCCAAGCTTACAATCGCAGAAGAATTGTGAAACCTTCTTGAACCCATTTGCTCATTTGTAAAATGGGTAGAATAATATCAACTGAAGGGAACTGTAGTATAAAGCTACAGATGTTAAGGTCACAGTAGATGGTGGAGCCAGGGTCCTAACATGGGTCTTTATGCTGTCCACTGTCTGCTTTTTCCACTTCCCTGACTCACACAAAAATATTCCTCCTGGCCACAACCTGCCCCTGCTCCAGGGGTTGAGAGTCAGTAATGACCTTGACAATGGGCCTGCCCTACACATCTACCCTGGAGAGGGTTTCCCTCTTCTTCAAACCAGCATCTTACAACTTTGAACTTGGACTTCTGTTGACAGTTTTCCCTTGGGGAAAAAGGGAAACAGACTCTCCTTTTCCTTAGAAGATTTACCCCAGAACACTTATAATTGTAAATTTACATCTTATTGAGATGTAGGTACATGTTTTTTAAGAGCTAAAAAGGCCTGTTTGCGTATTTACAACCTGGAGCACTTTTTTTTTTCTGGAGGGATTTGGGAATCATCTTCTAGAAATATTATCTTTGAGGAGGAAGTATCCCTATCGTCCAAGGAGGGCTGGGGTCCAATTTTCAGGGAGCACCAGGCTTCAAGTTGCAAACCTATCTCCTGTCCTAAATATATACATTTATTTCTGTTTTGGATGAAGGAAATTGGTAAACACAGTGCCACATTAATTACCAGGGGACTTTAGGATGAACACTGTGACAGATGCTGTTAAGTCCTCTTCCTCCAGGACCATTCATGCAAATATACATGAGTTTGTTGGGGCAGGCCCCCTAATGGCTGTAGTTATGCTCCCCAGCTGCCTGCAGGCTGTGTTGTTTTTAGTGTGTAGCCAAGGCTGAGAACCAGCTATGCTATGGTTAATCAAGGCCAGAAACACTGTGACTCAGCATTGAGTCAAGGTCATAAACATTAACTTATGAAAATGTAGCTAGGGGCGGGGAGATGGGGGTTTGGCTAAAGACTATGGCCAGCTCCAAAGAAAGGATGACCAGTATTCCCACAGAGCCCCGCATCTTCTTTCAATTGCCCAGTCAGACCCTGGGTTCAGAACCTTCCCAGGGGTTTGAAAAACGATGGGCTTTCTGTCTTTGCAGTCTCCTCCCCGGGTTGCCTGTAATGCGCATCGCCTTCGGATTTCAAGCTTACTCAATACCCAGCTGTCCTGGAGAGTATCTTGCGGGGTTGGCAGGTTTTGTTTTCCACTGTAATCCGCCCCCGCACCCACCCCCGCCATATAAACAAGGGCTTTTGGATAGGGCTTTGGGAGAATTCGGACAACCTGCAGGAGCCTGGCCCTGGCATTTGCAGAGTGCGAGTACCCACGGCAGCCTAGCGCATCCCTATTTTTAGCAGCAGGGACCTGGCGGTCACGTGACTGGAGCGTTTCCTAGCACCGCCGCGTTCTGCCCCCGGCGCGCTGGGCGTGCAGCATCGCTGAGTGCGGAGTAGCGGGGCCAGCGGCTATGAAGGTCTGGAGCTCCGAGCACGTGTTCGGGTGAGGCGGGGCTGCGGGCCGATGAGGGGTCTGCAGCGACCTCGGCTCCCGCCCTGGGCATCCCGCTAAGGACAGGCGCCCTCTTCTCCCCGGCGTAGCTGGGCGGAGTCCGGCGGAGCCTGGACTGCGGCAGCTGGGCTGGGCGCTGCGCGGGGCTGCGGGCAGGGGCGGCAATCCTGGGGCGAGAGCCCGGCCACCGGGCGCAGGCCTCACCCGGTGCGTGCAGGCCTGATGGCAGCGCCGTGGCTCCCCGTGCGGGAAGGCCGGATGGCAGCGCCCTCGCTCTCCGGTGCGGGAAGGCGGACGCAGCACCCTAGCTCTCCGGTGCGGCGGGGGCGAGGTCCCAGGCAATGATTCTGCAGAGCCAGCTCGCGCTTTGCCGAGATTGTGCAGAGCAGGCATCTTCAACATACAGCACCTCTTAGGGGCCCAGGGGCCTCGGGCCCCTGAGGAAGCTGGGCCAGAGGAAGGCACCTGGGGACCACAGCCGTGAGCTTACTTGTAGGCAGGGAAGCCTCTGGCAGTCTAGGAGCTACTGGAAAGTGCCCTCCTGACCTGAGTGGTGGCCTTCTCCAAGTCACTAATCTGAAGGCATTTTGTAATGTCTTTTAAAGGAACAAGATTTTTAAATTCCCCGACCCCACTTAGAGAAGCCTTTTGTTTTTGTGTGAGAGATTATTGCTTGAACTTGAATTGTCATTCTTTGTCCTTTGTACATGTAAAGTCATACTAAATATTTACCAAGTACCTTGAAAACCTCTGAAAGTTTTTTTTAAATTAAATCTTTAGATTTGATAGGATATATTATTTTGCACAGCTTGCTGCATTTCTCTGACTGTTCTCCCAGGGGTGTGGGTGAGTCATTCTCCTCTGGATGCAGAGGGAGAGGTTGAATTCGGTACATAGTGGGGTGATGGGGATCAGTTGCCTTGTGGGCCTGTTAAGAAGGACCACCCTAGTGGGTCTTGAAATGTTGGCTGCCCAGCGTCAGCTGTGAAAAGTCACTGTTGAAATTTTTGACAATTTTTGTAGCTGCCAGTCATTTAAATTTTTTTTTCCGAACTGGGAATTGAAGCCAGTAATGTTCTACCACTGAGCCACACCCCCAGCACTTTTAATTTTTTATCTTGAGACAGGGTCTCACTAAGTTGCTTAGGCTGGCTGAACTTGTGGTCTTCCCACCACAGCCTGCCAAATCAGAATTGTAGGTGTGAGCCACAATGCCTGGGCCCACTTAATTTTTAAGCTTTATTAAATATAATTTACATATCATTCGACTCCTATCTGTAATATAAGTCACCTGTTTTAAATAGTACAATTTCAGTTCCTTTCTTTTGTTTGTTTGTTTGTTTGATGTTGGGGATTGAACACAAGGTCTTGTGTATGGGAGGCAAGCACTCTACCAGCTGAGCTATATCCCCAGCCCTCCATAATTTCAGTATTTGCAGAAAATTTAAATTTTTAGTAAGTTGTACAACCATCGCCATCATCCTGCAGACCCAGTCATCTCTCCTCACTGCTCTCCCCAAAGGCAGAAGAGATGATGGGTTTGGTGGAATCCTTGCTCTGGTGTGTGTGCCAAAGTCCAGTTGACTACATGTATGTACACGTATGCACATGGACACAGAACATACACATTCATTTTTTGGAAATAGATATCAATGGCATCACCTTGGACAGATCATTTGGCATTTTTTCTTCTCAACAGTAGGTTTTTAAGATCTGTCCATATTGATATCTATGTGATCTGATATCGGTATCAATAGATACCTATATCAATATGGATAGATACATACCTATCTAAGTACACATATAGGTGTGTGTGTGTGTGTATGTATATAGGTGTATAAATGTATGTATGGATTGATTATAATAGCTGTATAATATTCCATTATATGAATATGCCATATTTGTCCTTTGTCTTCTTGAAGGGACATTAAACAAATTTTCCCCTTACAAAGCTTATTGCAGTAGTCAGCCCTATGTCAAGGGCCCATTTAAGCCACTAGATCTCAGCTGTTCAACCCTAGGACCACTTTACAATTTTGGAGACCCCTAATAGTTTTGTTTATATGAATTATGTCTATCGACATCAACCATATTAAAAAAATAATTAAAAAATATTAATTCATATAATGAACAATAACAGACTTATTGCACTAACATAACATTTAAAAAAAACTACATTTTTCAAAAACTGGCAGGAAGAGTGGCATTTTTAACACAATATTTGCAAGTCTGGATTAGCAGAAGGTAGCTTGATTCTCCACCTGCTTCTGTGTTTCGTGTTGTGCGGTTTTGTTTTGGTTGGAGTGTGTGGATGAATGCCAGCCTTACACAGGTATGTAGTTGGTAATTTGTGGCTTTTCCTTGCTGCTATGGCAGAACAAATGGTGACTTATTAAAAATTGTTACAAAATAAAATCTGAAACAAAACCATAGTGAGCAGAGGAAACAGCTCCATTCCATTCCAACCTCAGGACTGCCTGTGAGTGGGCCTTTCACCTGGGTGTGATTCAGTGACATTTGCACTGGTTGTTGGAACGCAGTGTTCACCTGTGTTGCAGAATGCTGCAGTCAACGTGCTCAAGGCAAGTTTCCCAGAATCCAGTTTTTGTCAAATTCCGTCTTTGACAACAAATACTACCACTGTTTGTCTTGAAAGAACAGGCTCAGTTTATTAATTTTCTAGAACAGTCTGCCAGATCCCAAGTTGGAATAAGCAGTACCCTTTTCTTCAGTTCTACTTATGTCTGTGTTAACTTCTAGGCTCATCATGTTGTAATTAATGGAATTATGTGCATAATTAATGGAATTATGTGTGCGGTTTATCCAGATACAGGCTTGGGTGGTGATTTGGTCTCCAGGGAGCTTGGTCTGCTGCAGAAGGACTCTGGTGCACTTCCTGTTGCCTCACACAGAACAGCACAGAGGGGTGTACATAGGGATTAAGTGGCAGTAGATTTAGTCGTTCTATCATTTCACCACAGATGTCCCTAAGAGGAGCTGACATTGTTTCTCTGAGTGTGCAGTGTTGAGCAACACAGTGGCTGGGCTGTGGTTTGGAGTCCTGCCTTGACCACTGGTGATAGTCTGGCACTTTCCCTCCATTGCTTTTGGAACATCAGTTTAAACGTCAGTATGGTGAAGGCTAGTAATGTCTCAGCAGTGCTGTGATAGTCATTTCCTAAAAGGGTCCTGGAGCCCAGGCTGTGGCCTGTCCTAAGAGCCTTTGGGCAGTAGGATGTAACTGACCTTTTTGTATTATTTGTGGCTACCTACTTTTTTAAAAAAAGTTTTATTATGGAAATTTCAGAAATATATAAAATTAGACTAGAGTGCTGAGTACTTATGCCATGTCCTAGATTGTCCTCTGGAAGCCCCTCGGGTTTCACCTGTGTCCCCACTCTCTGCCCCTACCCCTGGGTGATTTTTGGCAAATTGTAGAGTGATGGAATTTTTTCTTCATGTAACACCCCAGCTGTGTCTAGAGAGAGCAGCCCCAGTGTGGAAGCCAGGATTGTCCTTACACCTTCCCTGGATTAGCCACCCTGGCACAGATGATGCCTGGTGTCTTTCTCATCCTGGGGGGCATGTGAAAGTACAACTGCATGGGGGACCCATCCCTAGGTGGGAGGCAGCAGAGTCCTCCCTCCCTTTGGGGACAGGGTTTGCATTCCCACCATTGTCTAGTGTATAGCTGGAACTGCTCCTTCTAAAAGTAAACTTCATCAAATTCCTCATCTTCCTAAACCTGGAGGTGGGAGTGTGTTGGCATGCCTGTCACCAGCCTTTCCAGATGAGTCACTTCTGTGACTGCTGTGCCCACCAGCACTCTGTGTCTATCATGCTCTTTCCATCCCTTGCTCATGCTAGACTGGAGCTTTGCCAGTTGAATGGGTATCAGACTGTTGACCCAACAGGAGTGCTACTGACTTGCTGCTTAGATCTTATAAAGATGTTATGGTTATTGTACCCTTTTCTTCAGTTTTACTTATGTCTATGGTAAGTTCTTGGCTCATCATGCTGTAATTAATGGAATTATGTGCATATTTTAAGCAGGTTATATTATGTTTAAATCATCAACCAAAAAGATGCAAAAGTTTTATATAAAAGAACCATCTGTGATAAGTAATGCAAATTTGGGCTGGGGTTGTGGCTCAGAGGGAGAGTGCTTGCCTTGCATGCATGAGGCACTGGGTTCGATCCTCAGCACCACATAAAAATAAAGCAAAGATATTGTGTCCACCTATAACTAAAAAAAATTTTAAAAAATAAGTAATGCAAATTATCTCTTTGCATTTAGATCATTTTAGGCTTTATATTGGAAGATGTAGTCCATTCTGCTTAAAGTAATGACTTTTATGGAACTCAAACCAGAAGTCCATGGGTTGTTTATGGAGAAGGCCTTTCTTGTGATTAGGACCCTTTCTGCTTTTCAGGCATCTGGATTCTCTTTCCTTACCTAGATCTAGGGTTGAGTGTGTCTGTGCTTGGCTCTCAGGATGCTCTAGAGAGATTGAGACCAGCCAGTTCTCTGTGCCCCCAGCCCTTTATGTTAAAGCCAGTGGCTGCATTAACCTAGTGACAAGATTCTGTGGTTTGAAAACTGAGCCTATGCAGTTCCTTGTTAAAGAGAGGATTCTAGATTGGGTCCTCACAATTTATAGGCTACTGAATGCCATAGAAATAGGATAGGGATCTGGGAAACCTGGTTTTAATCAGGCCTGCTGCAGACTTTTTGACCTATACAACAAGAGTTGTATGAGAATAAAGTAAATTAATGGCCATTCAGTTATATTAAAAACGACATCAGATCTGGAACAAAACTTTAATATGGTCATAATTTCTGATATTGGATTTATTACTTCCATTTCTAGAACTTTATCCTAAAAAAAAGTTAGATACATTAGAAGACTACCTCCTATACACATCTACACTCTTCACTTCTGTCCTGACTGAATAATGCAAAATTGGTAGCAGTCAAAATAAGTTACCCTAAGAGACTGGTTGAATATTCATAGGATGACCTATTATACAGCTGTTAAAAATCATATTTTTGAAAGAAGATTTGTGATACAGGAAAATTTATCAGTTATAAGAAGTGCTCAATAAACTCTTATTGAGTATAATCCCAGTAAGTTTTTCTTTTTTTTTTTTCTTCTTTCTTTCTTTCTTTTTGTACTGGGCTTGAATTCATGGGCACTTAGCCACTGAGCCACTGAGCCAGCCCTATTTTGTACTTTATTTAGAGACAGGGTCTCACTGAGTTGTTTAGCACCTCACTGTTGCTGAGGTTAGCCTTGAACTTGAGATCTTTCTATCTCAGCCTCCCCAGCTGCTAGGATTACAGGCGTGCGCCACCATGCCTGGCAAATCTTTCTTTTTTGATGCTGGGGATCATCAGTTAAATTTTTTAAAAGATGAGTGTGTATGCACACATGCATTGTGTGTGCATGTGTGTATACCTGTGTATGGGTGTGTGCATGCACCTAGGGCTTAGGCAGGGTCCAAGCTTGCTATTCACAGTTGCCTGGGTGCATCTGGAGAGATAATGGCATTGTGGAGGTACATTCTTTTTGCAGGCATCCTGGGGAGCACATCCAGGATAGGTTGGCAGACTTGACAGCAGCCCCTCAGGGTTCTGGGGGAAGGTGCATGCCCATTATAGGGTGGTGGCCCTTCTGGTTGGCTGCATCAGATGGGCCTGAGGCCTGTGAGTTCAGAAAGCAGTGGCAGTGGTGTACCTGGTTTGGGGCTTGTCTGATGGCAGGAGACAGACCAGGGGGAAAAGTATTCACTTTTCTCAGTTGCAGGGCTCAGGGTCAGAGAGGGAAGTGGTGTCCTGTAGGGGAAGCTTTACAAACAGCTTGAGGACACCTGGGGCCCCCACAGGCTCTGGGAATGTGGTAGGATTGTGAGCCTGTATGAGCAGGGGGGAGCATGGTGGAAGGTGACCTTTATATGGTCACTGTTCCTGTGGCCCACTATCTTCCCAGACTGGCTAGCCTCCAGGAAGCCGAGGTGTTTGTGCTGATGGAAGGGGCAGATGCATGTTAGAATGTTGCCATGGTTATTGTTGGAGAGGGCACCTTGTAGAAACTTTTAAATTTCTTCACACTTTTCTTTATTTTTAAAAATTTGAACACATTTTTACAATAAAAGTGGCTGCTTGGGGCTGGGTTCGGTGGTGTTGGCCTGTAATCCCAGTGGCTAGGAAGACTGAGACAGGAGGGTTGCGAGTTCAAAGCCAGCCTCACCAAAAAAATTGAGATGCTAAGCAACTCAGTGAGATTGTGTCTCTAAATAAAATACAAAATAGGGCTGGGGATGTGGCTCAGTGGTTGAGTAACCCTGAGTTCAATCCCCAGTACCAAAAAAAAAAAAAAAAAAAAAAAAAAAGTGGCTGCTTGGTCATATACCATTTAGAAGCTGGAACAAAGCAGAGCTGCTCCTCAGGACGTGGGGTCATGTCCTAATTAGACACATCATAGGTGACAATGATTGCCAGTTGAAAATACATCCAGTATGCCTACCCCACTCCATACCATGGTCTAGCTGCCTAAAATGTACTCAGAATAGTTGCCTTAGCCTACACCTGGGCAAAACCATCCAACACAAACCCATTTTATGATGAATATCAGAAAACACGAGCACTAAGTGTCTCATGTAACTTTATGGATACTGTACTGTAAGTCAAAACTAGAATGAATGGATATGCATTTGTACCTTAGTGAAATTGAAAAACTCCTAAATCCAGCTATGGTAAGTGGGGGACTTCTGTAGTTGATTTTTGATAGCACTTGTTTGGCTGGGAGCAGATATAAGACAGGTGTGTTATTTATTATTATTATTATTTTTTGTACTGGGGATTGAACTCAGGGGCACCCGACCACTGAGCCACATCCCCTGCCCTACTTTGTATTTTATTTAGAGACAAGGTCTCACTGAGTTGCTTAATGCCTCACTTTTACTGAGGCTGGCTTTGAATTTGCCATCCTCCTGCTTCAGCCTCCCAAGCAGCTGGGATTACAGGCATTTGCCACTGCGCCCGGCAAGTTGTGTTATTTATTCTACAATAATATTCTTAGCTACCAGATGTCCAGGTGGTCATGTAGGACCCCAAGGCCAACTGGACGTTAGAGTCCAGCTTGTATTCACTGTGGCAGCCAGGCAGGAAGGCACACCCTGGTGCTGGCTGCCTAGGGTTCTCTGTCCCCATGGAGCAGCACCAGGGAGGGCCACATACCATGGAGATGGGAGCATTTACTCACTGCAGGGACACCTCTTGCCAACAGTATTCTGCCTCCCTGAGTACAGATCGAGGCCTGGGAGAGGAAACAGCCTGGGTCAGAGGAAGAAAACCCTGCAGCCCAGGGCCCACCATGTGGCAACTGGGCTAGGGATGCAGGTGTGCGGGGGCCTGGTGCCAAGGGCAGCTTACTGTGGCATGCCAGGCTGGGTGTGGGAACTGCTCTGCCCCAGAGCCTACCAGCAGCAAGGCTCACAGAATCCAGGGTTGGGCCTGGAGTAGATTCTCTGCATAGATTAGTTTGGCTAAAGCGTTGAACCCCCAGGAAGGAGCACTGCATTGCCGCCCATTCCCTGTAGATGCAGCATCCTGCTCTGCGGCCCAGCGTCCCCAGGTTGCGACTTCTCTGGCTGACTGTGTTTCTCCCGCCAGCCACCCGTGGGACACGGTGATCAAGGCAGCCATGCGGAAGTACCCGAACCCGATGAACCCGTGCGTGGTGGGCGTGGACGTGCTGGAGCGCCGCGTGGATGGCCGTGGGCGGCTGCACAGCCTGCGCCTGCTCAGCACCGAGTGGGGGCTGCCTGGCCTCGTCCGCGCGGTGAGCGCCTGCCTGGCCACCGCGTCTTGGGGCCACTGCGTCCTGGCCGCGGGCCCCTGCGCCCTTCTCTGCCCCACCCCGCCTGCCCCATTGGGCGCAATAGCTTTATCTGCTTCTTCTGCTAGGCTGCCTGCCGAGATGCCAAGGTGCACTTGCAGCTCAGGCTGTCGGCTCTCAGTCCTGGAGGCCAGAGCCCCAAGTCAAGGTGTCCGCAGGCGGGCTTCCTCCAGGGCCTCTGCGCCCCCTACCTACATGTTGACTGTTTCCTGGGAAGGACACCACTCATCCTGGAGTAGCGCCCACCCATAGGACCCCATTTTTACCAAATGAGGTCTAGCAACCCGTCCTACTCACAATCTGAGGTCCTGTGGGTTGAGGCTTCAAAATATGGATTTAGAGGGGACACAATTCAGCAGATAACTGGAAGAGTTGCTCTGGAGGTCACTAAATGAGTAAATCTGGCCCCTTGTTGCTACTGGCTCTCTCAGAGACTCTTCCATGAGGGTTTGTACACCACAGCTTGGATCTGACATCCCTCGTGCCTGACCCTCCCACAGAATTCATCCCAGAGGCCTTCTCAGCAGAGGGGCCTTCTGGGCCACTTTGGTCCCCATCTCTCACCCTACTTTTTTGTCAAAGCATTAGTTACTGTCATGCACTCAAGCTCTGAACTCATTTAGTTTTTTCAACATCTGTCTCCTATGGGAATGGAAGTGTCCTGAAGACTAGATTTTGTCTGTTGTGTCCATTTCCCAGTCACATCATTGTCCAGTAAATAGGTGAATTAATTAGCAAACGGAATTCTAGCATGTTACTATACTAGTTTCATTTTGTTTTTTAGATTTTGGGGACCAGTAGGACTTTGACATACATCAAAGAGCATTCTGTTGTGGATCCAGTGGAAAAGAAAATGGAACTTTGTTCCAGCAATGTAAGCAATGGCCTAGGAGAGCGGTGCTTAGCCGTGTCCTGGTGATGGTGCGTAGCGCCTTCATTTAATCTTACTTCCAGCTTGGCTCTGGCCTCAGTGAGCACTGAATTTCATAGGAAGTTCAAATTTATTTGAGTTTTTAAATTTGCTTTTTATTCTTTTTTTTTTTTTTTTTAGAATTTTTAATATTTATTTTTTAGTTTTCAGCGGACACAACATCTTTGTTTGTATGTGGTGCTGAGGATCGAACCCGGACCGCACGCATGCCAGGCGAGCATGCTACCGCTTGAGCCACATCCCCAGCCCTACTTTTTATTCTGATATAATAAAGACAGGTGTGGTGGCATATTCCTGTAATCTCAGCTGCTTGGGAGGCTGAGGCAGGAGGATTGCAAGTTTGAGACCCATATCAGCAACTTAGGGAGTCCTTCAGCAACCTAGTGAGACCCTGTCTCAAAATAAAAAATAAAGCACTGGAAGTGTGGTTCAGTGGTAAAGTGCACTGGGCTCAATTCTCAGTTAAAAAAAAAAATTAAAAGACAAAAACAAATATAATAAGCATGTAGAAAAATGCACATTTCCAATTAAGGGAACCAAGTCTGTGAGCTGTTTGTTACTCCATGGTGTGATTATGGATGACGACAGTGGACTGTATATTTCAGAAAAGCCAGAAGAAAGACTGTGTGCTGTAAACACAAAGGGTAACAACCACTGGAGGAGACACTGTGCCAACCTGACGTAGCCCTCTCACAGTGTGTGCATGTGTTGTATTTGACATGCCAGCCCATGAAGATGCACAGTATTCAGGTGTCACTTAAGAGGGATAAGACAAACAAGGCCCATGTTGATGACTGTCACCACATGAACACACTGGCTGGCAGATGAGGTGACAGGATACAACTAGGCCCCGGAGCCCCTGGGCAACCTGGGCAACAAAGAGAGACCTGGTCTCAAACAACAAACAACAAACACTGTCTTGATTCCTAGAAGCAGATGTGACTTTTAGTGGTTTTTCAGTTATTTTTGTTTTTGTGGTACTAGGCTTGAACCCAGGGGTGCTCTACCACGAAGCTACATCCTCAGTCCTTTTTAATTTTTATGAGAAAGGTTCTTACTCAGTGGCCCGGGTAGCCTTGACCTTGTGATCTTCCTGCCTCTGCCTCCAGGTCACTGGGAGTACAGATGTATGTCACCAAGCCTATTTTGTTTTGTGTTTTTGCAGTGCTGGGGATGAACCCAGGGCCTTGTGCATGCCAGGCAAGAACTCTGCCACTGTGCCACACCCTCAGCCCTACTGGTCATGCTGAAAGCCATGTTCTCTCTTCACTCCTCTTTTACTACTTTTAATTAAAATTGTGTAGATGCATGTTGGGGAAAATGCACAGGATAGGAAAATGGCTCATTTTACAAATATCACTTATTCTTAGTAACCACAGAAATGAGCCATTCTGGGAAAAATCCCATCCCAGTACTCCTCTGTGGAGCTTTACTTCTCCATCATCCCCCTTTTCTGGTTTGCCTGCTTTGTCCCTTGGGCCACAGCACTGGTTGGAATCATTCATTGATTGGTTCCACTAACCACATCAGGAGTCTGCTGTCTGCCAGGCATCATGCTAGGGGCAGGGAATGCAAGACAGATACTCCTGCCCTCGCTGGTGTACCACCCCATGTGCAGCATGACCAACCTGTGCAGGTGTGTAAACAGTAAGGGCAAAAGCCCCCGATGGGGCCATGAGGTAACCTTGTAGGGGAGCTAAGGGGTGACTGGGGTTTGAAGACTGCAGGCGTTTCCCAGAAAGACTAGCAGGTGTACCCTAGTATCAGAACACAGATGGGCCGGGCAGGCAGAGGCTGGCTAGCTGTGGAGGAATAGGGAAAGTACAGGATTTTAGTGAAATTATTATATGAGCAGAAAATAAGTGTTTATCACTGCTGAAGGGTTATCTTGCTTTTGACAACTTAAACTTTTTTTTTTTTTAAATGGTCTTGCTAGGCACAGTGGTACATTCATGAAATCCTAGCTACTTCAGAGTAGGGAGGATTAAGGTTTGCTAGAGGCCAGGCGATGGAGACCAACCTGGGCAACAAAGAGAGACCTGGTCTCAAACAACAAACAAAGGTTTTGTGTTGGAACTGGCTCTTGGAGAAGAGGGTTCTATACTAGGTTGCTGAAGGACTCCCTAAGTTGCCTCTCCTGCATAAAAATTCCAGCACTTCCTGGTCCTGGGTGGGAGCCAACTGGCCACATGTGGCTATTTAAACAAATTAATTGGAATGAATGAAATTAAATCCCATTCTTCAGTCACACTAGCCACATTCTAGGTGTTCATTCACTTCATGTGTCTGCAGCCACCACGTCAGGGAGTACTGTCAGCTCCTGTTCACAGTGCTGTGCTGGAGCACCAGTTCTCCAATAGGCCAAAGCAGAAAACCTAGATGAATGAGGCACTTGGCTGTTTACAGGAAGTGATGTTGAGGAGACAAGGCCTCCACAGTCTTTATGTGGCTACTGGGGTCTGTCCCATGCAGTCCCAGGAGCCAGGGCCTCAAGACCTGGTTCTGGTGCAAGGGGGAAGAGAGCTTGCTATTGTTCACATGGGCACTGTCCTTTCCTGTACCTGCTGGTGCATCTTATAGCTTGGAAGTACCCTGGAGTCCAGAGCACTGGCACAGAAGAGATGCCAGCTGCCCACAGGAAGAGCTGAAATATGGTGTCCCTAGAACGTGATGTGGTTGGGCCTTTGGTGCCTATGTGTTTGCTTTGGCTCTGCTCAGTGTTAATTTTGGGGTGGAAGAATATGGGCAGATGGTTTGGGAAGAAGTACAAGAGAAATAGAACTTAAAGCTATTGTTTTTTTTTTTTTCTTTTTGAAGATCACACTCACAAATTTGGTGTCAGTGAATGAGAGGTTGGTGTACACACCTCACCCGGAGAACCCTGGAAAGTGAGCCTTCTCATCCTGGGATTTGCACATAGAATAGCAGAGGTGGGGGAGCTCCCTTTTCCACTTCTTCACCTATTCTCTCCCGCAGGACTGTGCTCATACAGGAAGCCATCATCACCGTGAAGGGGATTAACCTTGGCAGCTATCTGGAAAGTCTCATGGCAAACACGATATCATCCAATGCCAAGAAGGTTTGTACCAGTGTGGGGCTCTGTTTGTGGTCTGAACATTAAGTGCCAAGTGAAGCAGGAGACATTTTTAGTGCTATAAGTCCTCCTAGGTGCTGGGGCTCTCCATCAGTAGCTGAGCTTATAATTCCACAGCATTTCCCACAGTTACATTCAAAACCAGTGGCATTGGAAGGCTGGACAGGGCCTGAAGGGCAAAATGTCTATGGCCAGGGGAGCCATAGGGCTACTCTCCTTAGTAGGGAAAGTAAGGGGCAGACCTGGAGTATAAACCCAGCCAGGGCAGCTACCCCTTCAAGAGAGCCCAAATTCTGGAGGTTCTGCAAAAGCACACAAGCTCACCACATGACACTAGGAAATGGTGTGCTCTGACGCTGTCAGGAAGCATGTTCTGTACAACAGGCACCAGGTGCTGTGCTTGAGTGCCCCAAGCTGTGGTGCCCACTAGCAGGATTTGGGAGTGAGCTCTGTGGAGGTCTCCATCTGTGCCCAGGGGCTGGGGTAGAGGCAGAGATCAACCTGGGAGTCCAGATGTCCTTCCCCTCCATCAGATTGGTGGAATGAGCTTGGAAGTTGGGAAGGGAGAAGTTCCTCAAGTTAAAGGTGGTTCTTGCCAGAGCAGGGCCTTTGCTTTCCACCTTGGCTCACTTCACGGCTCATGTCTTCCCCTGGTCCATTCCTCCCACCCTGGCTTCTCCATTTTCATTTTCTGAATCAGTTGGGCTGTCCTTCCTTTCCTCAGAGCTGGGGCCTTCTGAGAAACTGAGGCAGTATGAAGACACCCCCCCCCCCCCAAGCCCTGATTCTTGCAATCAAGTCAGAAAGATTTCAGGCATGTCACTTAGAGTGACAGAAATGAGTTTATTGAAGGAATAGGAAAAGGGAAAGGGAACACTCTCAAGGGAGAGAGTGGGTCCTCGGAGAGGAGAGGGGCAACTTGCCTCTCCTGCATTCATTTTATTGGGGATCCCAGAGAAGTTTCCAATGTTCCACCCAGGTCCACCTCTTGACCTTTGAATGACAGCAGGGTAACATCAGACTTCCAAGTATTCACTGCCATGGCAACTCTAGGTCACCTTGGCCCGTGCTGATTTGTTCTAACTGGATCCTTAACCATACATTCTTATAGATTTTATTGTTAGGAGGAATTATCCTTATATCCTGGAGTTTCAGGATCTGGTTATTACCAATAATAATGTCTGGGTGCCTCTGATGAACATTATTTTGGGCTTGGATTTCTTCTGCAGATAATAAGTAGTTTGCTGAGGAGTGTGACATAGTCTGTCCTCTTAGACCAGCGAGGATGCATGTAAATTGCTTCTTAGAAAAGAAAGCATCTGGGGGTCAGCGCAGTGGGCCCATTTTATAGAATTGTTCTCTTGACCTCATGTTCCCTCCATCCTCACCTGTCTGTCCCCTGACATTTCCATGCTTAAGTCACCAATTGGTGAAACCACATTTGGCCTGCATTTTAACTAGTTGCAAATAGAAGAGCCTGCCTACCCTATTATTATTTTTTAAAAGAAAAATTAGATCTGAGGCAGGCTCTGCTGTACCCACCTGTAGTCCCAGGAACTCAGGAGGCTGAGGCAGGAGGATGTCAAGTTGGAGGCCACCTGGGCAGCTTTGTAAGACCCTGTCTAAAAAAATGAGAGGGGCTGGGGCTGTAGCTCAGTATAAGAGACCCTGGGTTCAGTCACCAATACCACCCCCATCAAAAAAAGAAAAGTCCAGATTTGAGAATTGTAGGCAGTTACTTTGCTCTACTCAGGGGAGGTGGGGCAGGAAACGTGTGGAGTTCTCATGGAGGATATGCCCCTCAACTTCATGTCCTCAGGTGCTTGGCTTCAGAAGTCGACTGGAACAAAATATTCCAGGAGGGTGGGGACAGGGGCTGCCCAGTGATGTAAAGCCCCCTCAGAGCTTCGTGGAGAGCAAGCAGGGTGAAGGCAGAGGAGCCACATTGGCTTTCTTTTACTTCACTCCCTAAGAGGTGGTGTGTGAAAGGCTTAAGGAGTCACTGCCTGTACCTAGGAGGAAAAGAGTCATCTTCTCTGCTGGAACTGCCTTTTGCCACCAAGAAGGCAGATGGGCTAGTCTTTCCATATGCCTAGGAACAGCTGGTAGCCTTGTGTAGATGGGGGGGGGGTGGGGTGCAGGTGGGCCTGTGGCCGGGGCCCCCCTGGCCTCTAGGCAGCAGGCTCAGGGTTGGGACTTGGGACATCAGGGTTGCATTCGCAAACCTCTGGGGGAATGAGGACCTTCTGTGTTATACTAAGGGGGTGCCAAGGCTGAGAAAGCTGGAGCAAGGGTGTCAATTTACTAAGATGGTAGAGAAAACATTCCGGCTGATTCTGAGCTTGAGGGCGATGCTGGACAGGTCACTGCTGTGTCTTTACCACAGTGTCACCCCTCTCCTGCTGCCTGCGCAGGCCCGCAGCGGAACTCACAGTGGACCTTGTTCTGTGTTGCTGCAGGGGTGGGCTGCTATTGAGTGGATAATCGAACATTCTGAAAGTGCTGTGAGCTAACAGGCGTGGACCTGCACCTCGGGATACACGGTGGTCACTGCAGTGCTCGTGATCCTGGTACAGATGTTTGGCGTTTCATTAACCGCGTGCATGGGGCGTGTGCAGAGGATGCTCAGGAGCCCGTTGCGCTCCTCTCCGGGCCTGTGCTTCTCAGTGTCCATCCCCAGGTCGAACCCTCCAACCCCACTGCTTTGCACTTGCTTGCTTCATGCAGGATGTGTTTTCCGGGGACACTTGAGCTGCTGTCCTCTGGTGCCTGCAGGTTCCTCCTGCAGTGCGCGGCTAGTGAAGAACCCTCCTTGGGTAGGTCAAGATGGGCTTAAAGGCTCTTCTGAGGCGAAGAGATTTCATTTGGGGTAAAATTTGTTCTCTTTTTTTTGGAGCTGGGGATGGATCCCAGGGTCTCATACTTCTACCCCTGAGCTCCATCCCCACACCATACATAGTCTGTCACCTGCCAGAGCCAGTGTTTAGCCCCTGCCTGCTTCTCTTCAGTGGCAGAACCATCCCTGGCATGTCTGAGAGTGTCACAAGCATTGCTTGATTTGTGCCCGTGAAATTGATACTGGGTGCCCAGCACCCTTGGCCACGTCTCACTTGGGAAAGGAGACCAGAGCCCTGCCTCCCTTTGTCCAGGGACTCCTCATGCTCCTGGTCCCCGTCAGGCTGCTGGGCTGTGCTGCTCTGGGCCCAGCTCCCCATTGTTTGTCCATCTGTCTGTCCCCAGCCTGCCTGCTCTCGTTTGGCCGTCCTTCAGCCAATAAGCTGCCTGGTCCTGGTGTCTTTAAGAACTTGTTGCTGATTTTGCCTCAGTCACTGAAGCTGCAGTTTGCCAGTGACCTTGACCTTGAATCCAAGGCTGAGAGCTGCCACAGTCTTTCCTCTTTCCTGGTGGCACTGAGCTGAGCACTCTCAGGGAGGTTACCAGGCTGGTGTTGCAGTGTGTGTGTGTGTGTGTGTGTGTGTGTGTGTGAGAGAGAGAGAGAGAGAGAGAGAGAGAGAGCGAGCATTGATGTGAGTCATGGCTCCTCAGGTTCTGTTTCCCCCAAAGCCAGAGCTAACCTGCCTCCATCTTCAACCAGATTCCTGACCCAAAAACTCCAAGAAGACAGGAAGGAAGAGAAAGAAGATGGAGAAAGGCGAGCTAGACGTGGCTCCGGCCTGTCTGGAGGGGAACCTGCTGGCACGGAAGCCCTGGTGACCTTGGAGCAGCCCTCAGCGTGCAGGCTGCAGTCATGGGCATGCGGAGGCTGCAGGAGTGCTAGAACCCCAGCGCCAGTCCACACCATGTTGCCACTGTGCCCTGGGCCTGTTCTGGGCCTTTGCTGCCTTTCCCTGGCACGGCCCCCAGCGCTTTTCTGCCAGTACTGGGACCTTGCTGCGAGAGCTCCTTCTTATGTCCCCATTGAGCCCTGTCCCTCTGCAGAGCTGACACTGTCCCTGCCCTCCACCTGCATGTGCCCTCCATGCTTCACAGAAACAGTCTCTGATCCGGAAGCTTCCTTCTGCCCCAGGTCCCCTCTGCACCCCTTGGCAGGGAGCTCTGCTCAGATGTCACTTCACACTGATGGGAGCTGAGCCCTGGGAGCCACTGGACTTGCTGTGGGGTCCTGTGGTCTGGTGGGTTTGTGGTCAATTACCAAATGTCTTTTCTCTGGAGTGGTCTGACTTCTGACGAGACTCCCCAGCTCCTGGGGAGGGGAGGAACACAGTGGCCTCCCACTTCCTATAGGCTGGGCAGCAATTCCTCGATCCTGGCACTGCCCTCTTGGGACACCTGGGGTGTGGGACCTGCTGGGCTCTCACTGGTGGCTTTGGGCCCTGCCTGGGCTGGACTGTCCCTGTCTACGTCACCAGCCCCAGCTCTGCTCTCCCGCTATAACTGATGGCCTCAGGGTGCCAACACCTCCAAGTTTTTGAAGTTTGTTTTCCTGGTTTTCTCCTCATAGTTTCATGGACATTTCAGGGATCAGGGCAAAAGGCTTTTTCTCAATGTTTTGAAATCAAAGTTTAGAACAATACTAGTTAAAAAAAAAGTCAAAGCAGCCCATATTTAATTGGTTAGAAGAAAAGCACAGGACTGTGTTGAACAGAGTCCTCAGCTCTCCCTCTGCAGGTGAACTCCCCCACCCTGTTCTCACAGACCCTTCCAGAAATTCTCCGTGCCTGTGAAAGTTCACATGTGGGGTTTGATCTTTCCCTTCTTTCATTAAACTTAGATAGGATCGTGCTGTGTGTACTGTTTTGTGACTGTCTTTTTTTCCTACTTTTTTTTTTTGTGTGTTGTTAGGGGGGTTGAACTCAGAGCACTCGACTACAGAGCCATATCCCCAGCCCTATTTTGTATTTTATTTAGAAGTTTCACTGAGTTGTTCAGTGCCTTGCTTTTTGCTGAGGCTGGCTTTGAGCTCCCAGTCCTCCTATCTTGGCCTCCTGAGCTGTCGGGATTACAGGTGTGTGTCGCTATGCCTGGCTTTTTTTCTCCTTTTTTTTTAAACATATTTATTTATTTATTTATTTTTTTAGTTATTGGCAGACACAACATCTTTGTTGGTATGTGGTGCTGAGGATTGAACCCGGGCCGCACGCATGCCAGACGAGCGTGCTACCACTTGAGCCACATCCCCAGCCCCCTTTTTTTCTCCTTTTTAAACATTATCTTGAAGGTCCTTTGGAGGATTCCCCCTGGAGGATTCGCTGCATGCACCCAGCCCTAATCCCTGGGGCCCCGAAGGCCACATTCACTGGCTCTGCTGTGCCCAGTCCACTGGTGGGTGAGGAGGGACAATCTCTGGGTCACTGTACCCCACTCTTTCCAGTGCAGCCTCTTGTTCCCAGGTTTCAGGATGACTCTGTCACTTCACAGGGTCATTGTCTAAGTGTGTCACCTTGGGAGTTGTGTTCTGGAGGGAAGCATGTGAGGCTGTGATTTGGAAAGCATGTGCTGAAGGCTGGATAGTGTCAGGGCAGCTTCTCTGATCTGTGCAGAGGTGAGGCCGCAGAGGTCCCGGGTGTTTTTGGAGTAAGATGGCATTTTTAGTGTGAGGGCTGTTGTAAATGTCAGTCAATTGATTCTGCCCAACTTCTGGCAGCTTGAGGGAGGTAAAAACAAGCCCCTGCATGCACCGAATTCTCAGTCTTCCATGCTTTCAGTTTTTGTTGTTTTTTTCCCCCCAAATTTCACTTTGGTTTACTAGAGTGTCAAGTAGGTTTACAAGTACTGCACTCATCATTCAGCTCACAGAAGGCCAACATTAAGGGAGATATTTTTCTCCAAAAGAGATAAGCTTTCAGAATCTTTAATATGTTAAAATTACACAGGCAAAGATAAAACCTCATGTCCCATTCCATACCCCTTCCTGCTTCCTGCTGTTGTACAGCTTGCTGCAAATGGGAATTTTAGTTGTTTGAATAATGGTTTAAAAGTCATCCCTTGCTCATTAAATTAATTTTGAGTAAAACTGGATGAGACTTTTCTTTATGCTTTCTTCCTTACCCCAAACAAATAGAAAACGCAGTGCTCATACTACAAGATCAAATGCAACATAAACCTTGGGAATGTGGACACCAGACCAAGGAGATCAATCTGGAGGACCCCAGTGGAGCCCGTGTGGGCACTATGTAGCAGATTGGAGCACACCTGTAGAGAGGGTATTTTTAATTTTTATAACTTTTTTTTTTTTTTTGGTACTGGGGATTGACCCCAGGGGCACTTTATGATTGTGCTACAACTCCAGTCCTTTTATTTATTTATTTATTTTGTTTTGAGACAGGGGCTGGCTAAGTTGCTGAGGCTGACCTCAGACTTGTGAACCTCCTGCCTCAGCCTCCACATTGCTGAGATTATAGGTGTGCACCACCACAACCTGGCTTACTTTTTGTAACTTAGTCACTAATAAGCGGCACCTGTCAGCTGTAGAACCTTCTAGTGAAGTTACAGGTGCTCATGGGGATGGATGAGCTTTGGAGCCTCTACTTCTCAGGTCCAACCATGCTGTGTCCAGCGGTCCCAGGACTGCCCAGCAGGGCAGGCTGGCACTCTGTGACCCCGGGTGACTTCAGTACCACCTGTGAGCCAAGAATGGCCCAGGTGTTTTTTAAAGCTGGTTAATGAAAACCCTCAGCAGGAGGGTGAGGAGACCTGGGAGGCCCACGCGGCCCTTTGTGGAAAACACTGCCTGCACCTCCCCAGGACCCCACGAGACCCTGGTCGACATTGATTGAGCCAAACTTTCCTCCTTCCGCCAGAACCTCGCTCTCGCCTTCGGGATCACACAGCCTGCGTGACTTGGGACCTCCTTCTCGGCTTCTCCAAATGGCTCGGGTGGGTCTCTCCCCGTGTCACTGCTCCGTGCTGGGTGTTCCTCCCCAGGCCTCGCCCCAGGGGCTTCTCTGGCCCGTGCAGGGGCAGGGAGGGCTGGCCTGCGTGACCTGGGAATGTGGTCACAATGGTGTGACTCCAGAAGCCGGTCACAAGAGACACTGCGCCCTGCTCCCTCTGTCACTCAGGGCCTGCAGGGGCCTCAGGGTACCTGCCTGTGAGCAGCCACCTTGGAGGCAGATCCACTAGCCCAGAGCAGCCTTGGGATGACAGGAGCCTCCGCAGACTTGGCTGGGAGCCCGAGGGGGATCCCTGCTACCGCTGCTCCTGAATTTGTGACCCAGGGGAAATTGTGAGATAGTAAATGCTTGTTGTTCAAGCTGGAGTTTGCGGGCAACAGTAATAGATAACTCAGATGTCACCTCATATTTCCATCGTCTCTTTCACACTTTCCCTCTTGCTGTCAAATCCTTCCCAATGAGTCCTGGGCTAATTGGCTGTCAAGCTGGGAGGTTTTTTGTTCCATTTTGAAAATGTCAAAACCAAGGCTGAGGCTCTGGCATAGATGGCCCAGGTGGTGCCACATGGCCTAGAAGTCTGGGCTCTCTCCCCTCTTTGAACCGCCTTAAAATCTCCTGTCCTGGAGCTGGCCTTGCCTGAGCGCAGCTCATGGTCCAGGGCAGTCAACCCTGGAGATTTACATGGCCTCCCCCGAGACCTCCTTTTCACCTGTTCTCATGTATATTTGATTGGTTTGTACTGAGATTTCTTCCAGAGCGAGATCAGGTGTTCTGCTTGCGTGCACAGTCTGGGTATTCACTAAGACTCTTGGGGACTGATGGCCAGTCACTGTTAAGAGGAGCAGCTGGAAATGCAGCAGGGTGAGGCAGCTTCTGGAGACCCATGGTCTCTTTCTAACCACTGGCAACCTCACTGTTCCCCCTTCTTCATCTGTAAAGAGGAGGCTAGTGTCTGAGTGCTAAAGGAGATGCTGTGGACTGGGGGCATAGCTCACTGGTGGAACAGAATGTTACCTTGTTACTAGTTGGGTTGGGGGTTGCACCGAGGGCCTTGTGCATGGTGGTATGTGCTCTACCACTGAGCTATACCCACAACTCAGCAATTCTCAAAAATTGGTGAGGCATGGTGGTGTATGCCTACCTAGAGTCCAGCTACTGGGGAGGCTGAGGCAGGAGGATCGCTGGAACCCAGGAGATCAAGGCCAACCTGGGCAACACAGCAAGACCCCTGCCACAAAAGCAAATGTTGAAAAAAACCTATATTAACCATAACAAACTAAGCAGGGAATATCTTCATATCCTAAAGCTTACTTTCTTATTGGTAAATAATATAACAAATTTGGAATAGTTCGGTTAAGTTGGAATAAAATTGTTAATGAAACTTTTATGATTCCTACTAAGAGTTAACCACACTGTAAGAGTCAGGCAGTGAAGATTATGGGCCCAGTAAACCTGGCGCATTTACGCAGCCGCCTCCTGACAGGCACTGGGCCCTGTGCATCTGCACATCTCTTTGTTAATGGAAGGAGACAGGGGTGCAGGCCCCCACCCAGGGCTCTCAAGCTGGAACAGCCTCTGGGAGAGTGAGCCAGGGAAGCTAGGTGGTGAGTCAGGGTCCTGAGAGAAAACTCCGTGTTTCTGAGTAGTGCTTGAGCTGCTTCTGGCTCTTCCCTTAGCCAGCTCAGGGCTGCAGTGACTCGGTGTAGAACTGTCCCTGACCGCTGTACCCCCTGGGCCGGGGGCTGTCAGCACACTGCCAGGTGCTCTGACATCCTCATGGACCCCATCTTTGTGTTTCTCACTTATTCCCATCTTGAACGTGCTGTTAACTCACTCTGCACTTACTGAGCACCTACTTCATGCCAGCTATTTCTTTCAGAAACTGGGATACATAGGACAGGGAAGAAATATGGCCGAGATTCTTGTTTTCATGGAACAATGAAGTGGGATATGGGGTGCTAAGAGCCGAGGGGGAAACACACAGGCCCACGTACAGCGGGGAGAGAATGTCACGAGCAAGTCAAGGATGGGAGCAAAGTATGTGAGGGTGGAACTTGCAAGTGTTTGACCTCTTGGAAGATGGCACTGTGCAGGGAAGAAGGTGCACCTTGTCCATTCAGCACTGAGAGCGCCCATCAGCAGAGGCTGAGGACCATTCTTGTGGGGAATATCTTCATATCCTAAAGCTTACTTTCCTATTGGTAAACAAATTTGGAATAGTTCAGTTATGTTGGCCCAACTGGAATAAAATCGTTAATGAAACTTTTATGATTCCTACTAAGAGTGCAGGAAGGAGGCCACATCAGCTCTGAACATCAGCTGTGGAGAGGCATCAGGCAGGGCTGGAGGGTGCAGCACTGAGGGCCAGCCACCTCACTGGGGACGTCATCGACTCCAGCCAGCAGGACAGGGAACATTGGCAGCTATGCCGATTTGCCTGGATGTTTGTTTCCAAAAATGGTGTTTGTGTTGCCATGTACAACAAGTAAGTGAAAATAGCCTGCTCATGTCGTGGCCCCCGCCACCACCTGCTTCTCTTTATATCTCCAACAGGAAGTAGGCAGCACAGCATGGGTCACAGAGACTGAGCCTCTGCTTCTGCCTCAAGCTGCAGATAAACCAAGCCCAGTTTGCACTTTTTCCTGCTTCCAGGTAATGTTCACAACCAGCTTGTCTTCAGACAGAGAGGTACTACTTAAAGCCAGGCACTGTGGCACACGCCTCTGATCCCAGTGACCCGACAGGCTGAGGCAGAGAGGATCACAAGTTTGAGGCCAGCCAGACTTTATCTAACTTTATATAAAAAAATAGAAAGGGCTAGAGGTGTATCTCTGTGATAGAGCTCTTGCTGGGCATTTCATGGGGCCCTGTATTCAATCTCCAGCACTGTGCAAAA